ACACCAGGGAAACTCTATTGCCCCCCTCCCAGCCCCGGAGCCCTTAAAGGGCCACGGGCTGGCTACACAGTTTGTGCCAGTTGCAAGGCTGCAAGCACCCGTGCCAGCAGACCCTGCACCTGCCACAGGATGAGCCAGCCACCCGAGGGCTCCCAGCCCTCCAGTGATCCCCAGGACCAGCCTGGCGACTCCCAGGAGCCTGCCCGGGGGTGCAAAAGGCGCAGAGCATGGCTTTGCTCGGGTGTCCCTGGTCTGCTGGGGGGGCCCAGCGGCTTTGCTGGACCCCCCCCAGCAGACCAGGGAGACAGGAGCAAAGCCACACAGGCGGCATCCTGCCGCCTGTGCGGCTTTGCTCTGGGGCAAAGGAGCAAAGCCACACGGGCGGCGGGGTCCCTCCGCCTGGGCGGCTTTGCTTGGGTCTCCCTGGTCTGCTGGGGGAGAGGGGGCGCAGCTAGTGTTGCATACCCTTGGTGTTGCAGGGGTTCAGTTCAGTCTTATGTCTGACCTGGCCACTCTGTTTACTTTTGGTCTGTGATCAACCCAGCCCACGTGGTGATCGTCACTGTACCATTCCCCTTCTGTATGTAGTTTGTTACCATAAAATAACAGTCATCAGACCTTCTAGCATCACTATGTTCCCTGGGATCCATTAGCTCTTTCAATTTATAACAGGATTCAGCATCCATATACTCCTCCCTTTAGGCTCAGAAGGCTTCCCAGTCCATCACTGGGGCTTGGTTCCATCTCTTGCAGCCGTCTCCGCTGAGGCTGCTGCTCCCTGCAGGACTCCAGGCCAGGCATTGGACTCTGGAGAGTGTTTCTGCTCTGCTCCCCCACAGTCCTCACAGCCTAAATGAAAGTTAAGGCTTTCCTTAAAATACATCACCAGCTTTTCAGCAACTCAGGCACTTCCTTCAGAACTCTGTCAGTTCTAACTTTTCCCAGTGCCCGAGCCCTGTAGCAGAGCATTAAGAACATAAGAACGGCCACACTGGGTCAGACCAAAGGTCCATCTAGTCCAGTATCATGTCTGCCGACAGTGGCCAATACCAGATACCCCAGAAGAACGGAATACAACAGGTAGTACTCATGTGATCCCTCCCTGGTCACCCACCTCCAGAGAAACAGAGGCTAGGCCTACCATTCCTACCCATCCCAGCTAATAGCCATTGATGGACCTAACCTCCATGAATTTATCTAGCTTTTTTTTGAACCCTGCATCCTCTGGCAAGGAGTTCCACATATTCCTCTCTAGTGTCCAGCTTGTATCACCAGACAAGTCACAGAAATTTTCAGGTTTGCTACATCCAAAGGAATGGTATAAATAGTTCAGTTTGTTTGATTCAGCTGAGTATCAGCTCCAGTATAACAACACTGCACTTGTAATCTGGTCATAGTGAAATCAAATATAAATAGATTAGAAAAGCTAAGACAGTGACAGGGGGTAGGTACTAAAAACAACATGTTACAAAGAAAGCAAAACTGTAAAACGCTTTCTAGAGACTGACACTTGACAGGCAACAATTCTTGTGTAAAGACCTGAAGAAGAGCATTATGGATCTTGAATGCTTGTCCCTTTCACCAACAGAAGTTGGTGCAATAAAAGATATTACCTCACCCACCTGGTCTCTTTGATCCTGGGACCAGCACAGCTACAAAAACACTGCAAACAATCTTTGGTTTAGAGGGGTCTCATCTCATTTAAGTCTTTTGTGAAGCATTTCAACCAAAGTTGGTTGAGATCCTGTTTTTATGAATGTAACCATACTGCCTGATTTATGCCTTTAAGGGCAGGATAAAGAGGAGTTCCAGTGCCACCTTCTTAAACCCCCCAAGTCCACCGTCTTTGTCCACAGAACCAGGTGCCTCTCTGAGGTTCAGATTCTGTTGAGTTCACCTCCTCTTCTCTCTCCTGTACAATCAGTCATCCTGTTGTCCTGTTGACTTTTCATGTAAATGGGTCTTGCTTTGTATTAGCTTAATTTCAGTCAAGGACACTTGTAGTCTCACAATGATTAGGAGGTTCAGTACAACATAAGCTTCTGTTACACACCTCCTGATCCTTTCTGGGTAAATACTATGGAAGCAGTGTCTTGGATGGAGTGAATGTGTCATGCTCGATAGGAGTTGCTGTTACAGAACAGTGAACCCTTGGCTACATGACATTGGGGGTTCTTAGAGTCAGACCTGCCAAAAACATTCTTCTTTCAAAGCTAATTGTGTTAATGGCCAATTTCATGCTAGTTATGGAAATGTTACTTCGCTCAAATCTGAGCATTGCTATGTACAGCTCCTGTGTCTGTCTGCTTCAGCCAGTATAATTACTACTGAGGTCTGATAGCCTGCATTTTCCCCTTTTCTGCAGTGCAAAGTTCTTTACTCTGTTGTGTATGATGGAACAACTGGATGTCATATTGAAGTGGTATAAAGAACTAGTCCCTTCGGTAAGATGGTCTTTCCATGTATCTGGGCAGCATTTGTACTTAAGATGTAAATCTGGAAAAGCAAGGCAACCCTATCAGACTAAATTGTAGTCTCTGTTCATCAGCACTTCTACCCAGATGCTCGAGCAATGTGGGCTTTCCTTCAAGCATTGGACACGGCCAACCATTTGGAAATGGTCCCTCAGATTTGGAAAGGTTAGTGGTAGTGTGGTTTCTTGGTTGCCTGTGGTAACCTAAGGCTTGCCCCATGCCCCTTCATTCAGGTGAGTTGTAAGGCAGCATACTAGTATTTGGAGAGCCATGTAAACGCCTCCATGGTGAGAGCCACAAACTGTGGCAGGACAATATGATGATGCTGTGATGTTTTGTTCAAATACAAGCTCACAGCCATGGTAGTCCTCACATGTCAAGTGCAGGACATCTTCGTATGGTGGGTAAGGGGATCGTAGATAGCAGAGGTTGCACAGTTAGTGGAATTGTTCATTGAAAGGGAAAATATATAGCTCTCCCTTTAAATCAGCAATGATGATTGGCGCAGGGGTACGGACCTCAGCTGCATTATGGGAGCTGAATGTAAATGTTTTTGTCCTGCATGTGGTAGGAGAAGTGAGAACATTTACATGAGAATGGTGCCTATATCTGAGCTGGTCGTTAGGTGTACTATATGAATTCTCCTGCTTGCTCCTGGGGAGGGAATGTGGGCTTTAACATGTAGGAAGGCTCCAGAGATGGCCTCATTGCTAACCACTCTCTTCCTTCAATCAGATATCAAACAGCTTGGGCTTAGCAACAGACTTGAACTGTTGGAGGAGGTGTTGGCTCTGATGGCCAGGGAAATGCACCCTCAGGAGGTGAGGCTCGTGAAGTAATCAGTGAAGTGAAAGTGTCACCCTGACTTTACAGTCCATCAGAAGGCGTGTGTGTGTTGGGGATGGGGGAGTTAACACTAAGCGCAATCTAAAATGTGCCTGTAGACGGTAATCCTAGATTTCCATTCGCTGTATAGATTCACCACAAAATGCTTGTTGTGAACCAGGGTGGGAATGGGGAGTAATTTCCAATATTGAGTGAGCCCTTGACAAAAATGAGTTAGTGGCAGGGCATTCTCTTCTAAATGGGGAGGGAGTCAGGCTCAAAATCTGACCGTGTGCAAAGAATAGATCTCTCTCTTCTAGAATTAAATTGGCCTCAATTTGGGCTGTGTTGGGTTTGTCACCTTTGAATTGGTAGAGATGAGGAGCTAAATTCCACCCTGTTGGTGTAACTCCATTGACTTCAGTGCAGTTAAACCAGGAATAAACTTGACCCAAGATGTCTCAAAAATGGTATGATCAAGGAATACAGATGACTTACTGAAAGAAACTGTTTTCACTGGGGGGGGGGAGGGAACAGATGACATTTAGCTCCATCACTCTGACTGGCATTCAAAAAGAATGAGATACATAATTGCCATTTGTGCTATCTGAAAATCTCCATTAAAAAATTGCAAATGTAGATTCTCATGACTTGTCTAGGCCCAGTGTTTAATGTTAAGCAGCTTCCTGCAGCTTTCTGAACATCACCTGGTACTATCCCCCTTTCTTGCCTTGGTGTACAATGAATTACAGCTGCAGCAGTGCTTAAAAATTGTCCAGTGGAGAGCATTCTGGTGGAACTGTCTTTCTACAAAAGAGATGCCTTACCTGATGCTGAACGCATGGTAGACAAATAACTCGTGTACAAGATGCCCACAAGTTTCAGTTCATTCGGTGCTAATCGAGTGATCTCTTCACAGACTCAGATGTCATTTGCCGACTGTGCTGCAGATGTCAAATCTGTTTTTGAAACTCGAGAAAGGAACCAGGTCCCATTAGGGTGGACAGCGAGTACTCTTGGTAATGTGGCCATACTGTTCTCAAGGGTAGGAAGAACCCAGGAAGCCTGGTAAGTGTGTGACTGCTGTGAATTCTTGTCCTGCTCACATTCTTTTGATGTCTCCAGTTCCCATTTTAATCATGGACTGGGAAACTGCAATGTGCAGGTGCTTTTAGACTCTGTTGTAAATGAAAAAGCTGCTAAATTTTTATTTTTTTTACTTGAAGTTAGTCTTTTCTTTGGTGTTGTCTGATTCATGGTTACAGTCTAGCTCTGGACAAGATGAGCAGTAAATACAGTAGCCATCATAGGGAATATAATACTCCCTTGCAGGCAGATGGCTTTCTGCTACTAGATGTCTTGTAAATGCACCAAAGGAACTAGAGTCTGAGCATTTTATTTATAAAACTTGTTTTGAGACTACAACTAAGGTAACACTTTACCATAATATGGGCTTTAATTCAAAATAATATTATTGCTTCAAAAGTCTAGTCCCCAATTTTGGGGTCTGATCCAACTCCCACTAAAGTAAAATCTTCCATTAATTCACTTGGATCAATATGTTTGGGAACGGACCAACAGATGGGTGACTTTCTGGAAAGTTGCATGTTTACATCTGTTTGGATTTTTAAAGGGTGTGTTTTTTGTTAAGGTCTACATTCAGCACATATGCATGATGTGATAATTTCTTAAAATTTGAAGACTAAGGCAGCCTTAAATTAGTCACACATTTTAGTTTACAGATAACATCATTGAATATTTGAAATGTGTATACCAAAGACGCTACTTAATGAGTATTTTCCATATATTGGTGGGGGAGAGGAACATAGGGAAGTGTCTGTTCCAAAGTACAGTGAAGGTGGGTCTGATTAAGGACATTTTGCTGGTGTTCCAAGCAGATATTTATCTTAGAATGATTTGGATATTATAACCTCAGGGTTTTTTCTCCTTCACACAGGAACATGCTGGAGCTTTTCAAAAAAAGCAATAGAATCCCCAGGTGAGTTAATTTAGTGTCCAATTTCAGGTGGCAAATCTTATACAATACTTTGGGTAAGGTCTTGCATTGTGTTTGCAGGTGACAGTACCTGTCTAGAGTCTGATTTTCACACCTTCACCTCCTAAGAGTGTGAACAGCTCAGTAGTTTTGATTTGGGTGTTGGCCTCCCGGATGAGCATGGGAGTTTTCATTCACTCTATAGCACCTATGCTGAGAGCTCTTTCTAACCCAGAACATGATCAATGGGGCAGAGGTGGGTTTTAGAGCTGTGGGATGTTTTGGCTTTTTTCCCCTCTTGCATCAGACTCCTGAAATATGGGGTAATAAAATAATTGAATGGGCCCAGTAGCTCAGAGTGTGTTGCCAAACAGGCCCAGCAGCTCAATGTGGTGCTAGGTTAACTCCTCCACTAGAAACCGAGACCAGCTCTTCTAAGATTCTTCCAACCAATGTCACCCTGTGTGCTCCAAAGTGTCCCTAGCCTTTGTCTGCCAGAAGCTGGGAATGGCTGATGGCATGGATCACTTGATTGTCTGTTCATTGCCTCTGAAGCACTTAGCATTTGACACTGTTAGAAGGCAGGATACTGGGTGAGATGGACCTTCGGTCTGATCCAATATGGCCATTCTTAGGTCAGATTGATGGTCTTAAACTTTTAGCATACTTTGCATTCAGCTGGAGGGTAGATAGTTGTAGGTCTGTCTTTTGGCTTCTGGAGTTCTTCAGATCCCACCCACCAAATCACACTAGCTGCTGAACTGATCACTTGACAGTTGGTAAATGTTCAGTAGAAGACAAATTGACCTGTGGTTGGGGGAGGGGTTTATAGGTATCTTTTGAGACATTCTACAAAGAAGCTTCGTTTTACAGTAGAAATGTTAACTCCTAAGAGAAGTAATGGGTTTAAAACTGATTTGTGTATCAAAAAACTGTGTGCGCTAGCACTTACCACAGGGAGTGTCCATGCTGGCTCTGGTGTCCTAGCCAAGCAGCAGTTCTGGCAGCTACAGCCAGCCTGCCTAGAGGCCTTTGGAGTGGGAATTGGGTTTGCATTGGGAGGAGCTGTTGCATGCTAACTTCCCCCACACACCTGAATAGGTACATCCCAAAGCACTTGCACTGGTGGAATCCTCTAAGCTGAGCAGGAATCTCTGCTGAGAGGTGGGAGGGGAAAGTTTTCACGATGGCTACTAGTCCTCAGAGGCCACGAGCTGTGAATGTGGGTGAAGGGAGCATCCAGCAGAACCAAAAAAGGCTCTTTTGGTTTAAGTGGTCCAGCTCCATCGCCCCCCCACCCTCCCAAACTCCCCTCCTTTCCTACTCATCTCTAGCAGATGCTTCTGCCCAGCTCCTCTTCTCCCTCCGCACCATGTGGAACCTGTAGCCGTAGGGGAGGGAGCCTGGCTAGTCACCTAAAATGTGAGGCTGTGCCGCACTGGCAGCTTCACAGAAGTAGCAGAGCTGGAGACAGCTTGTCCGAGGTCCCCTCCTTCTTCCTTCACATGCAGAGCCTGTTGGGGAAGGCAGACACACACACATATTTCTCTGACCCCTTTCCTCTTTCAATCAGCTCCGTACAAGAGGCTGCAGCTCTGCCTGTCAGTTTAGAGGGTTAAACTTATTGTTCAGGTGGGAAACTTCAACCCTTTGTCAGCCAATAAATGAGAGAGGGGCTGGCTGCAAGAACAATCTCTAAACTGGGCTCAAAATAATGCCTTGCAACCACAGAGAGGTGCTGCCTGGCATGGGGTGGGAGAGGAGGGGCTCCCCACATTGTCGTCTTTTCCTCAGTTAATGGGCATTTTTACAAGTGTTGGGTTGAACTGCAGTTCCTTCCCAGCCGTGGCATAGCTCTGCAGACCATTCACTCTTCGCTTCTCGCTTGCAGTGACAAGGTGGTGAACGAGTTCTTGACCTGCACTAAACAAAGCAACAGTCCAGATCAGGCAGTTGAGCTAGTGAAGTTGGCTGCTGCCTACAGTCTACCAACAACTGCAAAGCTGGCAAGAAGGGTCAGAGAGGAGTTTGAACTGTCTGAAGAGCAGAAGTAAGATGGATTGTTTTATGTATTTGTTGTTCCATACCCACTATCAGCAGTGACTAGGAAAGTCTCTGTCTCTCTCTGTGAAGGGCTGAAGAGAGAATAGGCTTTCAGAACACCACACAGAGCTTTGCTGTTGCCATCTCTCCACTCCTCCTCGCTTGCAGAATAACTCAATATTAATCCCAGGCTCTCCTCCTACCACTTGTGAAAAAAGGTGCTCAGTTACTAACGTGCTATAGTGTGTACTTGTAGCAAAAATTCATTTAAAAACAGCAAAACCACTCCTTTTCCCTGTCACTGAAAGATGGATCCTCAAAATCTTAGGAAACTGGACAGAGAACTGGACTGAAGCTGCATTTGCTGGCACTTTGGGCCCTGATGGCTTCAAATATGTGCCTTGAGGGATTTTTAGTTTGCATCTTGCATAAAATAACTCTATGAAACTCTGGCTGTTCTTATCTAGTCAGAATAAACCAAAAAAGTGGGATTAGTTTTCAAGTGACTACTGATTTTTGAGTGTCCATATGCCCCTCTTTAAAAGGAACTAATGTATAAAGTAATGCTAAGCATCCACTCTCTAAAAATCAAACCCCCAGATGATGTCAAGTTTGGGCATCTAAGCCACTTCGAACTAATGTATAAAGTAATGCTAAGCACCCACTGTCTAAAAATCAAACCCCCAGATGATAAGTTTGGGCATCTAAGCCACTTATAAGAATACATGCTTTCTCCTCTCAGCTGAGTGAACCATAGCTGTTACCAAGTAGATCATGCTTTCAGTGGACTTTCTAGTGTCTGCATTGACAGTGGTTGTTTTCAGATGTCTCACTTCTAAGAGAGTAAGGGCTTGTCTCCACTATAGCCAAGATCTGTGCTGCAGAGACTGATCCACAGGGGTTGATTTAGCAGCTCTAGTGAAGACCTGCTAAATCCACTGCTTATCGCTCGGACATCAACTAGTACTCTACCTGAACAAGAATGAGTAAGGGGAGTCAACCCAGCATACTCTGGACACTGGGATAAGTACACCTAAGCTATGTTGACTTGTTGTGCTACTGCCATGATTCACATTGCCTAGCTTAAGAGTGACTTTTCCCTATAGTGTAGACCTCTGAGACTTGTATTTTAAAAAAAGACAACCCGAGAGTGACTTTTCCCTATAGTGTAGACCTGAGACTTGTATTTAAAAAAAAAACAACCCTAACAATTGGAACACCTAGAGATCAGCTAAACCCTTAAGACCCTAAAGAAAAGTAAAGCTTACTCTAAAAGGTGCATTGTAGCACTGAGATTATTCCTCGAGGCCCAATCTAGCCTGGCTCCTATTCCAGCTTGGTTCCACTACAAATGAGTCTTTAGAATGGGTGATCTCCTTGGTTTCCCTCTGGAAGGAAGTGATCTTGCAGGGAGGAGTACAGATAGATAGAAGCTTAATGTGGAACTAGTATTCTGTGCATTGAACTGTCTTCTCTGTGACTGTCATAACTGGTGTTCAACAATCTGACTGTTAATTGCACTGTTTCTCCCCAGGAAGGCTCTGGAAGCTGCTGAGCCCCAGTGCAGTGACAGCAGTGACAGCGACAGTGACTAGAAGACCCGTTTCTCTCCAAAACAAAGAACGGGAGCAGTTTCTCACTAGTACTGCCTGTTTGGGCTGCTTTAGAAAACTGCACTAGTGATGTCACATCTCTCCAACCCGTGGACACATTAGACTAAACGACACTAGACATATGAGGCTTAAAGTGTTCTGCTTGTGGTGATACCTTGTTCCTACCACCATCCTCAAACCGGTTAGCAGGAAAGAGCTTTCACCATCTCTAATTGCTCCCCTCCTACTCATGTCCGGAGAGATGAAAGGAGACCTGCTGTTCTGGACCAGATCACATCTCTAAAAGCCTTACTGAGACAATTACCTGTTTTCTGTTGATTTTGTTTGTGTGTAACATAGCCTTAACTACGGTGTTTCACTTTTACATGAAACATTCCCTCCACCTCACTGTATTACTCAGTGCTGAGATACTCCACAGCATAAAGGAGCGGAGCTGATCTGTGGAGACTCCCCTGGAGGCTTGATTATGGATCCTCTCCTCTCTTGGATTCAGGAATGGGCTTTGGGGGTCAGAGTTGCAACAGCTGCTGAACTGTGAGCTTGAGATTCCCTCTCCTCTGCAGGCTGAGGCTGTGCTTCCTACCTTAAAATGTACAGGGATGTCAATTATAAAAATGCTACTTCACTCCAGCGTGCATGGGCAGTGCTGTCTGTGAGACTGGATTGGTTCCTTCTAACTATTTCTAGGATTGTTTTCCCTACCACACCATACCCCAAAGGGCAGTTTAACCTTCCAGGTTCTGCTGAGGGAAGCAGCAGCTTTTCTTGGTCTTTTAATTTGGCTTCTTAGAGGTGAGAGAGATGATTCACTTGGGTAGTTTGAAGAGCCTTAAGGTCTCATTAATCCTCATTTCCCCATCTACCACTCTAGTATGACTATATGCTCAGGAGCACACACTTAATTCTTAGCAGAAATGAGAAAGGGGTTTGAGGGCAGCAAGCTGTGACTGCTTAGAGGAAATAAGGAAGAATGCACCTACATGACCGTTTGAATAGCCTCAACAATATAAATTACAAGTAATGGATATAAGAGGAAAAATGGCTGGCAGCTACAGGAACAGGCTCCTGCCATGTGTCTCACAACCTTAGACTAAGCAAAGTGAGGGCAACTCTGTTCTCTCTTCCCTTATCCCCAGTGCCATCTGTACAGCTAACATAAGCAAAAATTGGTGCAAGGGAGAAACCTAATCAGCCAATAGAGAGAATAACTGGCTGCTACATCTTTCATCCATGTGTGCTTGCAGTGCTATCTTGGATTGCAGCTGTTTTGTTTAGGTACTGCTAACTAGGTTTATATGAAGCTGAACTAGAGCAGGCAGTGGAACATTTTCCTATATGGGAGTCCTACTAAAGCCACAACTTTTGAAAATGACAGTGAATAGGAAGTTTTATGGTGGGGTAAAAAATGTATTGAAAATGACAGTGAATAGGAAGTTTTGTTGGTGAAGTTTTATGGTGGGGTAAAAAATGTGATAGGGCTGTAGCTACCTGTTCTAAGTAAATATCCCACTGCTTGGCTCTGACTTTAAATCACGAGACAAAGATCATCATAGTAAACAGATATAAAGGAAAACTGATTGAAACAAGTTCCTACTGAATACGGGTAAATGAAGGCTTGAACAGGTCTCCTTCACTGTCTTCGATGTTGGAACTGAATTGTAGTAAGCTGTGTGCACCTGTATGTTTTGTAAATAAATGTATGTAGTTTGACTGGACACTTTGAAATACTGATTGTATGTAATTGGTTCTAGGCAATTGAAGTGAGCTGATATTCTAGCCTGGGCTTCAAAAGTGAAAATGCAAAGTTCCTTTACCACAAAAGGTTGATTTAGTTGGAATTGGTCCTGCCTAGAGCAGGGGGCTGGACTTGATGACCTTCTGTGGTCTCTTCCAGTTCTATGAAAAGAGCCCTGAACATACAGAACATGTTTAACTTCTGTGCCAGGGAAGATAATGGTGCAAGTAATTGAGGAATCCATCTGCAAACATCTGGAAGTTAAGGTGATAGGGAGCAGCCAGCATAGATTTGTAAAGAAGAAATCCTGTCAAGCCCATCTGATAGCTTTGATAGGCTATCAAGCGCCTTGTGGATAAGGGAGAAACTGTGGACTTGCTATACCTAAGACTTTAAAGGCATTTGTCATGGTCTCACATGACTTCATCAATAAACTAGGGAAATGCAACCTAGATGGGGCTACCATAAAGTGAGTGCATAACTGGTTGGATAACTCTGAACTGTTATTAACAGTTTAGAGTAATGCTACAAGGGCATAACAAGTGGGGATTCCACAGGGGTCTGCTTTGGGACCAGTTCTGTTCAATATCTTCAATTATTTAGATGGCAGAGAGTGCACTTATTAAGTCTGCAGATGATAGCAAGCTGGGAGGGGTTGCAAGTGCTTTGGAGGATAGTCATAATTCAAAATGATCTGGACAAACTGGAGAAATGGTCTGAGGTAAATAGGATGAAGTTTAATAAGGACAAATGCAAAGTACCCCACTTAGAAAGGAACAATCCATTTCATACATACAGAATGGGAAGTACTGCAGAAAGGGATTTAGGGTCCTAGTGAACCACAAGCTGACATGAGTCAGTGAGACACTAGCAAAAAAAAAGGCAAACATGATTCTGTGATGCATTAAACAGGAGTGGTATGAGCTAGACACAAGAAGCCATTCTTCTGCTCTACTCTGTGCTGATTAAGCCTCAGTTGGAGTACTGTGTCCAATTCTGGGCACCACATTTCAAAAAAGATGGAGAAAGTGGAGATGGTTCAGAGGAGAGCAACAAAAATGATTAAAGGTCTAGAAAACATAACCCATGAGGGAAGAATTGGGCTTGTTTAGTTTAGAAGACAGAGGAGACAGGATGGTTCAAATATCTAAAAGGGTGTTACAAGGAGGAGGGGGAAAAATTGGTCTTTGGCCTCTGATGATCAGACAAGAAGCAATGGGCTTAAATTGCAGCAATAGAGGTTTAGATTGAACATCAGGAAAAGCTTCCCAAGGTTCAGGGTTGTTAAACACTGGAATAAAATTGCCTAGGGAGGTTGTGGAATCTCCATCACTGGAGATATTTAAGAACAGGTTGGTCAGACATCTATCAGGGATGATCTAGACAGTGCTTGTTTCTGCCATCTCGAGGTCCCTTCTAGTTCTGGTATTCTGTGATACTCCCTGTTGTTCTGCATGTTCAGGGCTTTCAAAAGACCTAGCAGAATTTTCTTGGAAGTCTGCATGTCTAAGTTTGATCTGAATTTTGTATCATATAGAAGCATGAGTTCTAACCAAAATAGTTTAAGACATTTTCTGATTAAGCCATTTGTCACTCAGCATGTTGTGCACATGTCTGGAAACTTTGTCCAAACTACAAATGTAGTATTTGAATACTAAATGAAAGTATTTCCTTGGAGGTGAGAATGCAATGGTTTTGAATTGCACAAGCACAAAGATGTTCTAGATTATGTAGATCTCTTGGTGCTACTCAGGTATTTAAAATATAACTGCAAGGAACAGCATGGGCAGGGATACTAAATAGGTTAAAAGGAGACAGCTAGTGGTGATATAAATTGTCATTACTACATGCTGAAAATAATATATACTAACAGCCATTTGCCATGATCAGCTTCAGGCTACTAATACCAGAGTGAATCAATGATTGCTCTGGTATCCATGTATTGCCATGATCAGCTTCAGGCTACTAATACCAGAGAATCAGTGATTGCTCTGATATCCATGTATATGAGATAACAAATAGAAAGCTTTCTATTTGGTATTTAAGCAAGAGAATTGAATAGAAGATGACACACGGGTTTTATACCTTGTTTTATTCAACGGCACCAAGTGGCAAATCAGTAAGGGTTGGTTACAAACATTATTGTGGCTGGGTCACAAGCCCAATCAGTACAACTTGGAAACAAAATTGTTATACAAGTTGCAGAGAAAGCAGCTGAAGTTTGCTGTCATGATGACTGAAAACAATATAAATACAACAGGTGGTGAGATTCAGCTCAGTGCAAGGAAACAGGACGGGTACCTGTGGTTTGTGACATAACATTTCTACCCCTTCCAAAGTCCTTATTTCCAAACCCTTCACAATCATTTGATTTCTTCCCAGCACTTGAACAATTCTGCATTAGACTGCTTCCAAAAGTGTAAGCCCTAGCCTAGATCAATCCACTTGAGTTGTTCCTAATCCCACTGCACTGGCATATGCAGTCAGGATATCCACTATTTGTTTTGTTTCTAGGGTCATTCGCGCTTCAGTCAGCCAGTCCTGTGCCACTCTTCTAGACTCCCCTTTCAGCTGGTTGACAAACTTAGCTGCTAGCTCCAGATCTCCATGTTCAATGCAGTATGAAGCATAGGACAGTAATTTAAATGTGTCCAGATCATCAGGGCTGAACTCAGTGGGTGGTTTCAGTTGCTGAGGAGAAAAGAGGAGAAGCGACTGGAGGTAAGAGAGCAAGTATTGATACAAGCTGTTCCTGGTCTCATCGATCATGGCCACTCTTTTTGCGAGTTTTTGGACTCCATAGAAACGTGCCCTGAGTGCCTCTTCACTATAGACTCCCCGGGTCAGAGATTCTTGGGGGAGAGCTGCTACTAAAGCTTCAGTAAATGCATTGTTAGAACAGCTGGCTTTGATGGTTTCAACTGCGCATTCCAGTGGTTCAGTGGGACTGTCTCCAGATGCAGTCTTCATGCTATATTTTAAAGCTTCAACTGAAAGCCACAGCTGATGTGCCTTTCTAGCTTCTTCTTCAGCAACTGCGTGACCTGCAGAATAAATGCAGAAAGACGACTTTAGACTGACACACACAGTGTAATTGTCACATTGAGGTAAAGATCAGCACCCTCATGAGTAAGTTAACAAGCAACATGAATCAGTTAAGATAGCACAATCTGTCTTCAGCGATGTGGGACAGCAGTTCAGGATAATACTGAGTCTAAGTGCTGAAGTGAGGTGTACAAAACCTAACACCATTTTTGAGATGTCTTGATAAAGCAAACCACTTCAAAAACAGGAGAGCTACTGCTCCATAAGTATGCTTTAGCAGAGGGTTATATTCTGTTTGAATTAAATTAAATTAAAAACAGGTGAAAAATAAAACTCCAGCAGGGAATAGCCTTCCACATAGACTGATTCCTGGATATCAGCTGAAAAGGTTTTTCAAGAGGAGAGACAAACACCAGAAGAGAACCCTCCTACTCTGCATTTGAGAAAAGGAAACAGCAGTTGGAGACTGAAGAAGGGATCTGAAAGTCTGGTCAGTAAGCTGGAGAGTGTGGTGAGAAAGTTTGCTCTGTGATCCAGATTAAGTACATACTAGTAAGTGTTAACTTTTTTTCCTGGTAAACATTTCTGGGTTGTGTGTCACTTACATTTCTTTTACTGGTTTAGCCAATCCAGTGTGGAAGTGGGAGTGCCCAGGTAACTCGTTTAAGAGAAGATGGCACATTACTGCATTAAAAGAATAAGAGACTTACTATAACTGCACTGTCCAGGAAAGGGCAGGACAGTAAAAAGACAAACATTTCTGAAGGAAGATCTGATCCAAGAGTGTATGGGAGTTACCCAGTCAAACTGGTGAAACCAGGGTGAAGCTGGCAGGCTGAAGTTACACTCACAGAGGGAATGTGGTCAGCATGCTAGAAAGGCTGTGAGAAGCCCAGGTGATAGCAAGGTACTGAAAGGCACCTAAATTAGCACGATAATAGTGATGCAGTCCCCCACTACTCTGGATTGTGCTCTGGTACATCAGTCATTACAAAATGTTTCTGCCCCCTTTCCAGTACTTACTCTCCATTGCCTGCTCAATTCCTTTCAGCCGGGCATAAGCTGTGTTGATATCCAAAGTAAAGTTGTCAAGTTGTTCCTGAGTAAGACGTTTGAATTGCATTTCCTGTTCACTGAGTTTCTCAGACAAGCTCTATTACCAGTGTAAACAAGAAAACAAATACTTCATGTAGAAATCAAAATGATACCCTTGATAACGCAATACCACAGATCAATTTACTGTATGCGTTCCAAAGACAATGTACGTTTTAGTAAATGCAACATGGCCCTGGTAATCAGACACTCTATTGCACCTGGGCTGTGTTTACATTGACATCCCTTTCCGGAAAAGGGATGCTAATGAGACACTTCGGAATTGCAAATCCGCGGGGGATTTAAATATCCCCCGCGGCATTTGCATTTACATGGCTGTCGCTTTTTTCCAGCTCGGGGTTTTTGCCGGAGAAAAGCGCCAGTGTAGACGCGATTCTCTGGAAAATAAGCCCTTTTGAATAAAGGAATAGTAGGAATAAGGGATCTTCCGGAAAAGGGCTTATTTTCCAGAGAATCGCGTCTACACTGGCGCTTTTCTCCGGCAAAATCCCCGAGCCGGAAAAAAGCAGCAGCC